ATTATCATCAGAGTCACCTTCTGGAGTTGTCCGACCTAAGACATTAGGTAATAAAAGTTAGAAAGAGACAAAGATTAAAACAAGTTAGAATATTTAAGTGGGATTGTGAATGAAAAAAAAAAAAGATATAGGGCAGTAGCTAAACGGTGGCATAGAGTCAAAAGATTTTTTTTTTTTATATCACAGGATAAAATCAAGCAAGTTTATATTCTGAGCCTCTAGGAAGGGATTGAGGGTGTAGGACAAAGGATAAGATAAGGCATCAGTGAACCTGGGGTAGTGGGAAGGCAGGTGATTGCATAAGGAGGGATTGCTAATAGAGGGGAAACGGCACATTTTTATTGAGTAAGAGGAAAGGAGAGTACAGCTGTGTATGCTCTGGTGGCCCAAAAGCACAACAAGAGCTCATTCTCTCAGGGTGAAGAAGATTAAGATCAAAGTATAAATCTATAGAGCAAGAAAAAGGATGAAAGTTGAGACTAATAGAATGCCTTCATTTAGGTGATGAATGGAAAAGAGAAAAATTTAGAAAGGTAAGTCAAGAAATGGGTAATACAGTGACATGGACACGAAAGAAGAAACACTTTGAAAGGAGAGAATGATCAAATCGGCCAAGACTGTAGACGGGCCGAGGTGATAGGAAAAGGTTTTTGGATTTTGCCATTTCCTGAGCAATTATCAGTGATTTTGGAGAGAGGAGTCTCAATTGGGATTATAGAATAGAAGCTATCCGCTCAAAGGATAAAGGAGTAAATGGATAAGGAAAAGATAGAGAATAGTAAACAGAAGAGCCCTTGATCAAATAATAATTCCAAAATATATATTTATATCAGTTTAATGGAGAAAGATATTTCCAGGGACACCAAGGGCCTGTATTCAAAACCTATCAGCTATTTGGTTCTATTATATGAAATTCCCTGGATTTGACAATTCTTAACTACATTTTTTAACTAGGGTAACTTCATATGATTCAACCCAATAATCAAAAATGTCATGGGTTAGGTTTCTTACCGACTAGAAGTCAAATTCTCAGGTCCTCTGTGCTAAGCCTGCAGGGAATACCTGAGCCATAACACCGCCAAGAATACTTTGTAGCTCATGAGACACATGGATGGGGGATAATGAAAATTGACAAATTGTAATTTTATTGTTACTCTTTGCTAATAATGTATACTCAACATAAAGAATAATAATTTCTATAACACAGTATTAGAAATGAGCAGCTTTCTTTTTGCTAGATTTCCACAAATATTTTGAAAATAAAAATCTTTCTCTAGGTCTCTCAGCTTTTAATCTAAGTATTTTTGAGAGTAAAAAAGCTGTAGTAGCATGAAACTATGAATGGTAATTTATCTGCTAGAGACATTATTAAATGAAAGCAACTTTAGCGAACTTGATTATTTTGGACCTTAGCCCTTGCTTCAATAATTTTTCTCAAATTTAATTGCTTCAAGGCCAACGATGAAGGGCATGTAAAATGCAATTAACAGATGAAAAATCTCTCTTGTGATTTGATATTAAACAGAAGTGATGGAGTGTGACATTAAAAAAATGGTGTCAGAGGTGCACACTTTGCATTTCACTTTAATTATATCAATTTCAGATTCTGGAACGCTGCAGTTTTGTGCATGCTTAATTAAATTATGTCAGTATCAATACTTTTAGGTCAAAACAAAATTTTTGGAGGAAGTTTCAAAGACAGATAAGATGAGGACATGGTCGTTCTCTGCCTTTCTGGCTACTGGGCTGGAACGAGCTCTGGGAAGTCTGTTTTCTTTTTTTTTTTTTACCTATAAAGTTCTGTGGTTGTAATAGTACATGATTTGAATGGCATTCAAAGCCCCTAAGACAACTGAGATGATTTTAAGCAGACTTTGGGCTCACAGAAGGGAGCATGGTCTGTGTGAATTTCACTAACTCTCCACCTCTTGTAAGTAGCTTCAGACTGATGTACTTTCTGCAGATGTAAAAAACAAACAACAGAAAGACTAATAAGAGCTTTTTTTTTAACAATTAAAGAATTAAATCATTAATTTTACCTCAAAGAAGAATTTAAAAGCTCGGGGCGCCTGGGTGGCTCAGTGGTTAAGCGTCTGCCTTCGGCTCAGGTCATGGTCCCAGGGTCCTGGGATCGAGCCCCACATCGGGCTCCCTGCTTGGCGGGAAGCCTGCTTCTCCCTCTCCCTCTCCCCCCTGCTCGTGCTCTTTCTCTCTCACTCTCTCTATCTCTCTCACATAAATAAATAAAATCTTTTTTAAAAAAATAATTTAAAAGCTCTAATTTATATCCATTTTACAGACCAGAAGCTAAAACTTTAAGATATTAATGTTTAGGTTGTGTCCTGCTGGTTGTACAGCTGGCGTACAAGTTTCCCTGTGACATACCACAGACCAAATTCCTAATCTACATGTTCCTTTCAAGGGATTCTGTGAATATGCAGGAATTACATATTTTCTTCCCTTGCCCCTGTTTATGTTAATAATGATGTTCTTTTTGCCCTTCCAGTGCTCATGTCCTGTCTTCTTTTCTCCTCTACCCTTTTCCTAGAGGCATTTCATGATAAAAGTTCAAGTGAAAGTCATTGACGGATGCCTGAAGTCCTTATGTGGGGGATACTAGCTAAACCATAGTACCAAGTAAGTCTTAGGGGCACATTTGTTAGCTTAGATTCTGAAGAAAGTATCTGGAACCACAGAGAATACCCGCTCCAGATATTGTGAGCTAAACCAGTTACTTGCTGGGGCCAGGATTGTACTTTTGGAATGTTTTATTTATTTATTTATTTATTTATTTATTTGAGATTTTATTTATTTATTTGAGAGAGAGAGCGAGAGAGATCACAGAGGGAAGAGGGAGATTACAAAGGGAGAGGGAGAAGTAGATTCACCACTGAGCAGGGAACCCAACACAGGGACTCAATCCCAGGACCCTGAGATCACGACCTGCGCTGAAGGCAATTGCCTAACCAACTGAGCTACCCAGGCGCCCCGGAACGCTTTAACGTGTAATAAAAACCTTGAGAAGTTACTTTTTATGTCAGTTCAGTTTATTTAATTTGTTAGCAAATAAATTAGGTTGTTCTATTCATAATAATAGTTACCATTAACTAAATAATGTGTGTTATTTAAAAACACATGCATACATATGTATTCTAGTGCCCCTTTAAACAGGTATTATGATTCTCTTTTAAGGATGAGGGAACAGAGAAAGTAAGTGACTTGTTCAAGATCATACAACTAGTCTCCAAAAGGAGCCTGCAGATATTTCTTAGTTAAATCTCACCTCTGTGGTTGTTAGTGTGACCTTGTCATATAGAAGATCAAAAGTTATTGAGGGACCCCCTCAAAATCGACTTCCTTAATTGCCAACTTCAACCAACTCTAGCTGTACTCAGCGGACCGGTTAAAATTGACAGAGTAAAAACTTTCAAGTTAGAGATCCTCTAGCTAATTAAAATAATTTAAGAGACTCTTTTATAAGCTAGGATTAATAATATATGTAGAATTTTATTGAACTATTGACTATTTTTTCCCTGAGACAAGATATTTCTAAGTTCTTTCACTAATGCTTATATCTTCCTTTTAAAACTAAACAACCCTAATTAAAGCCTAACACTAGATAGAGACAAGTGCACAAATCCTATGTGTACAGGTTGATAAAATATGACATGAACTCACACATGTAATCATCTTCCAGGTAGAAAACTTTGCCAGCACGCTGAAGCCCCCTCATGCCCTTCCCAGTGGCTCTTCCTTCTCTCCTCCCCAAAAGAAACCATTCTCTTGGCTTCTAACACCATAGATTAGTTTTATTTATTTTTGGATTTTTTAAATAAAGATTTTATTTATTTATTTGACAGAGACACAGTGAGAGAGGGAACACAAGCAGGGGGAGTGGGAGAGGGAGAAGCAGGCTTCCCATGGAGCAGGGAGCCTGATGCGGGCTTGATCCCAGGACCCTGGGATCGTGACCTGAGCCAAAGGCAGACGCTTAACGACTGAGCCACCCAGGCGCCCCTATTTTTGGATGTTTTTATAAGTAGATATTCAGGTTCTTAATCTGTGGGGATTCTTTCACTCAACATTATGTTTAAGAAATGTCATCCAAGTGGTTCCAAGTAGCTGTAATTTCATTTTCATTGCTGAATGCTGTTCCATTGTATGACTATACCACACTAAAAAATCCGGTCTGCTGTTCATGAAAATCTGAGTTATTTCCATTATGGGGGCTATTGCAAATATCACTACCATGAACAGTTTTGCACATGTCTCCTGGTATAAATGTTCAGTTCAGTAGGTAATTACAAACAGATTTCCAAAGTGGTTGTACTAATTTACAATCTTATCAGCTGTGAATGAGGATTCCTATTTTACATTAGTCCTAATTTTTGATGTTTGCTAGTAAGGTTGGGAGCTCAGAGGAAACATCATCCTTGCCCAGATGCAGCATAATTGCACTTGCAGGTAACTAAGCTGTCTTCTTGGTCTTTTCTCATTATGACCTACTCCCTAGCTGTAACTGTTCACGCTGTAGCTGAAAGGGTTTGCTGTGACCTGAGACAATTTAATAACATATGGCAGGGTACCAGTATGATGATCTCATGTGTGAGTAACCATTTTAAAATTATCTTAGTAAATTGTTGTTGATTCATTGGCCTGAAAAGAGCAATGTCAAAGCAAGCCGTTCAGAGGGTGAGGCATTAAGCCTGGACATTTTGCTAAGATGAACACTGAGGTCTCCCTAATGTATCTTCTGTTTATCATAGTGTTTGGATGAAAGTTCTGAAGATACCAGAACTTTTGCAATACATTACTACAGAAGGTAGCATTAATTAAACTGACAAAAGGTGCCTAAAACTTCTGACCCATTCCTTTTAAGTAGGTCAAACCCTTTTATTAAAGTTCCTTATAAATCCTAATAATCTTAATTCAGAAATTCTTATAAACTATACCTACTTTTTACTCAGTTAAGAGAAAACCTGTGAGAGATGATCATTTACCTTAAATGATCCCTGGGGCCAGGAAAAATTCCAGAAATAAATTTTCAAACTGAAATGTCTGTTACTTTAACTTGTCTTTGAAAAGCTGAGTGAGACTTTGGAGATGGTGTGGAGAAGAAAGGAGAATCACCTTCTTGAATTTATTTGTAAGTAATGTATATGCATATATAATTTTTCTTCTTGCTGACGGTAAGGAGAAACTGAATGAGCAAGTTAAACTTGTAGCCTTCAAAGAGAACCTCCCCTTCTTGCCCCATACACCTTAAGTAGGTGAAGAAGAAAAGGAGATGTCATCTCTGAATAATAAATGGAAGATAAAGAGAGACTTAATCTCCACGGTATTTCCAGTACCCAAAGTTTCTTTAACCACAGAGTCCATTCCCAACCTCTTGATTGTCTTTTTTTTTTTTTAATTACACGAATGGTCACTAATTTCCAATACATCATCAATGTTCTTCATCACCTTTTCTTCAGCCCATGGAGTCATGTGCAGAATGATGGAATCATCAAGGGTCTGGTGATAGTAAAAACAAATAAACACACTCAGTAACCTAGTAGTGAGGTTTTCATGTTCAAATCTACTCATGCTGTCTTCGTGCCATTTGTTTTCAGTGGCATCCAGTTGACTTAATTGATTTAGATAATAGATTGAGCATAGACCCTGGCAATTTTTTCAAGAAATAGCAGAAATCCTTTGCAGATGAGGAAAGAAAAAGGAAAACAAGAGTCGGGTTAAGGAAGGAGGAGGAAATATGGGGCAAAAGGAGTGCCTCTTGCACAAGCGTAAGTCAATACAGCTGGGACTGGTGGGTGTTAAGAGGGGCCTCCTCCTTGTTCAGGCAAAGAGCAGCTTCCTCCTGTCCTTCAGCTTCTGTGCAGATTGAAACACCTCCATCAGGAAAGGAGGAGACTTCTCAACTATCCTTCTGCCTCTGAGAGGCTACTCTGACTGCTCTAGAGTTGGGGAAGAGAGGAAAAAGAAAGGGTGGGAAAAGTCTTATTTGACTGGAATAGTTCCATTTGAAACTTATTTACATCTGAATAATAAAGTTAAATATATCTGAAATTTATTTTGCACTTAGTAGATATTTGAAGCTGACTTGTGTGTGTGTGTGTGTGTGTGTGTGTGTGTGTGTGTGAGCTGTTACTGTGGATCTCATGTGTGAATAACCACCCCCTCTCCGCTCCCCCAATCACTGAAAATTTCTCCCTGGCAGTTTCCTTGACTGCAGGAACTTTTCCATCTCTCTACTTATAACGCCCCCTTCAGCAAGATCTTGCTGGGCAGAAGGGGGCTGAGCAGTAAGAATAAAGGTTATATTATGAAATTTGCTCAGGAGTCTGAGTCTGAAAACAGTCAATAGCATGAATTTTAATTTTCATCCATTATACTATACCCTTAAATTAGATGACAGATGATCAAAAGACATAGTTAGGGTTTTTTGTTGTTATTGTCAAAGCAGCTTTCTTTCTAGATTGTTAAAGATATGAAATTAATACGTATGTGCTTGAAACTTGATTTACTCTCTTTTCTCCTTTTACAGTGAGAATACACAAATCTAAGTTTATACAGTTATTTTATAGCAGAGTAAGTTCGAGGAAGAGGGTCTCCTACATCCTAGGCCACTGTTCTTTCAACATTGTGCCTTTAGGGTGGATAGTTAATAAAATGATTGTTTTATGAGAGATGCTAGTGTTTCTTTGCCTGGCGTATCTTAAAGTATTGAAGGGTGGTTATGATAGAGACAAAAGCTGCTCTAGCTCAATTCTTAAATAATCTTTTTAAGATAATCTTTTTTCAGTTTAAGTGAAGACACAGGACAATTGAGGCCACAGAGATCATGACATTTTTTTTGAAGAAGTTTAACTAAAGAACCCAGAAGTTCCTGTTACAGCTTGGATAGTGAGCAAATTGTGTCCATCATCTGTTTATATGACACATTGTCATGATATATGGTTTTCCTGAGGAACAAAGGTGGAGGCCAAGCACCTGCATAATTAATTATAGTGTTAAATTCTCCATAGCTAAAATCCATACACTAGGATTGCTGTAATCATCAATTCATAGACCAAATATGATTGATAGAAATAATTTAATTTTTAGGCCAACCCTCTTACCTCATTTTTCATTTGAATATTTCTCCCTATAAAGTATTTTTTAATACTTAAATAATTACAGAATATATTTGGAATTCTTGGCAATCCTATGATTTGGGATTATGTTATTTCTTACTATGGAAAGACTTTATTCAGGTACCAACTGCAGTTAGATTATGCAAATATTCTAATTACGTAGAGTGGAAATGATTCTTTTTCAGAATGTTTTGTAATAGTCCTGCTAAACAGCTTCAGTACATTATTTGGTCCTTCCTAGCCTCTAAGTTTATTCGAAATTGAAAAGGGAGTTATTCTTTTTCACTATTATTTTTGCTATAACTCATACCGCTCTCCCTCTCTCCCTCCCTCCCTCCCTCTCCCTATGTTTCTTTCTCTGTTTCCTTATCTCTCTCTCTCTCTATATATATATACATGCACTCATATACATACACATGCATACATACTTAAAGAGTTTTATTTATAGTTCTCTCAGGTCTTTTATATATAATACATTTGGGTATACGGATGAAATATCATCATCAAATACTTATAGGCCTTATAAACCTATGGAAGGATAAGTGAGCAAAAATTCTGTTATTTCAGTCAATCAGAGAAAGACATGTATCATAAGACCTCACTGATATGAGGAATTCTTAATGCCAGGAAACAAACTGAGGGTTGCTGGAGTGGTGGGGGGTGGGAGGGATGGGGTGGCTGGGTGATAGACACTGGGGAGGGTATGTGCTATGGTGAGCACTGTGAATTGTACAAGACTGTTGAATCATAGATCTGTACCTCTGAAACAAATAATGCAATATATGTTAAGAAAAAAAAAGAAGATAGCAGGAGGGGAAGAATGAAGGGGAGTAAGTCGGAGGGGGAGACGAACCATGAGAGACAATGGTCTCTGAAAAACAAACTGAGGGTTCTAGAGGGGAGGGGGGTGGGGGGATGGGTTAGCCCGGTGATGGGTATTAAAGAGGGCACGTTTTGCGTGGAGCACTGGGTGTTATGCACAAACAATGAATCATGGAACACTACATCAAAAACTAATGATGTAATGTATGGTGATTTACATAACAATAAAAATTATTAAAAAATAAATAAAAATTCTGTTATTTCAGAGGGTCAAGCTAAGACCAATAGCTAGAAATTACTGGAAGCAGATTTCAGCACAGTAGAGATTATGGCTTTCTCCCAATCAGAACCATTAGAACATAGAAAGGGCTTCTTGGGGAGGAAGCGAGGCCTCTATCACCCGAAGGATTTAAGTAGAGACTCGTTTCATTTGTATTGAGAGAAACTTAATAGGCTTTAGTTGAAGTAGAAGACCTCTATAATTCCTCCGAATTCTAGGATTTTAAGATTTCTCTTTAGTTCTGAATCCAAGTCCCAAATGTATATTCAGAAATGAAACTATGTAACTTTAAATTATTTGCTAATAATATGTATGCTCAAGCCACAACTAATTGGGCCAAGATCAGGTGTGACCAGGAATTACTGCCAAAATGTGCAATTAAAAATTATACAACTTGGGTGTGGACACCAGAGATCAAGTTTTACTTCTGAATAAGTAAGTGCTAGTGACTTGAACTAGCTCGGTTCCCTAGGAGCACAGAGGACTTAAGGCTTTCGGTTGAGAAAGATCAGTGTGTGAGAAAGAACTAGAGCTTTGCCCTATGAAATGAGAGGCTGTGGCCGGCCACCAGCTCAGTAAAGCTTAAAGCAAAAGGAAACCTGTTACATTTTTCACAAGATTTAGTGTCACTCACTATTCATGTTTATTGGAAAGTGATAAATGAAGGGTTTGTTGAATTCTGAAGTGATTTTTTATTTTAATTATGAGTCATATCCCCACTTGCTTTCAAGTGAAATACTAGATAGTTATGATTTTCTGTTCCATAATGGAACCAAACTTTCGTTTCAGTAAATATACATCAGGAATGGTTATGCCAACCAAAATGCAAAACTATAATACAATGGAAAGGCAGTCAATTAAAACAACACTTTTTTCATACAGTAAATGACATAAATAACTTTCATATAGTAAGTAACATTCAAAGAGACGCTGGTAAATGACATTCTTTCCTGTTTCTAGAAGCTTGGTACTCTTCTAGAGCAGTAGAAGAAAAGAGAGTTTCAGGATATATTTCAGTTTAAGGGGTTCTTTGCAAGACTGGTTTGGGTCTGCAGCTTCTAAGAGGATTCATTATGATACCTCTATCAGGTTTGTTGTTGTTTGGAGTGACTAGAGTTTTTACTACCTTGCATCATGTACTGATAACACAGCTGCAGACATGATACTATTTTATACCATGCAACCAATACAATAAAGCTCGTCATAACAGAGCCACATGCTTCCCCCAGGAACCACATATAGTTTCTATTGAAAGATAGGGTGTCAGAACATGTGTGGTAAAATCATTAAGCTTTGCTTCTGAGTCTCTTCTCTCCAAAGGGCATATCAATGACACGAGAAAGGGGGCACAGCAGCATTTTCTGGTCCTTACCAATCAGGCTGGGGTAGTGCAGAATCCCTGTTTTGACTTGTACACTGGCAGATTTTAGTTTGCAAGTTGTGTATCTCAGCATGCGCCACACAACCTCGGGGACAGCCAAGTGTCAGTTTATTCCCAAGTTCATGGTGAGGAACTCACTCTAAAACACAGGGTGAGCTGGGTAGCGATGTGGGTTGCATCACAGTATTTCTCAGACAAGATCTTTCTAATCTGCTGATTAGACGGTGGCTTTGTGGCATTTGGCACATTCGTTTTAAACAGAAAGTATCCATTTAGTACACCCACCTGGTTCCTGCCGAAGAGATGACCTGTTGAGACAAACAAAACTCTAGAGTTTCCAGGATACAATTGAAAGCAATAAGACTATGTATCCCCTCCCCACCAAAAAGACTGTATGGTATCTTCCTGGAAAATTCACTGAATATTATAAAGATAAAATGAATTTAGCTGACATTTTCAAAGACATTTAATACCTGGGTATTTCCAGAATGTGCTGAACTAAAACAAAGGATTTTTTTTTTTTTTTAAAGGCAGTTCCTTAGCTGGTGTAAGCTTAGGTTAACAAACTCCTTGAAGACAAGGGCTAAAAGTCATTCCACATAATTATTAGGTGGTCTGAAATTGTAGTCTGGATTGAATCAAAAGAATCTGTCTTGTGTCGACAGCTCCGCTAGCCCTTCATTTGTGGGTAAGCAGAGCAGTCCACATATGACATATTTGCATAATGCCATGTGAGTAGGGAAAGATTGACTATGGCCCTATAGCACTTTTTCCCTCCTGTAAAGCAAACTTCAGGTTTTTTCATTAGACGATACTAGAGTGCCATGATAATGCTGTACTTGAAACTTAGGCTTTGGAGCTGCCTGACAGATAAGAATTAAATCTCACAACTCTTCACCCAACATCATTCAATCTGATTTACGTGGAGTGAAAGAGAGCACTATTTGTAATCACACCAGGACAGCACCATACCTTGGCTATGCAAAAAACAGTGCGCTCAGTTCTGCTAGCCTACCAAAGCAGAAAGGCCATTAGGAACCCCGGCTTTGTCCTGTTACATTAACTATGTAACTATCTGCAAAGTAGGGGACAACATTTGAGATTTGTAGCAAAATATTCTTTATCCCATCTTCTAAATTAGACCCAAACCAAGATCATGGTTGCCCTCAATGGTAACACCCACCTGGCCTTCCAGTCCTGTATGGAATCACAGTGTTCAGCCAACCCAGAAAACAGAATGTGGTTCATTGGAAACTCAGACTGGTTTCTCATTATTTGTTAGTTTGTGAGTCACTCAATTGAGAAACTCTTGCTGTAAAAGGAGGAATGCAGGAATAGAAGAGTGAGGACAGCACAGGAAAATGCATGAGAGCAAAATAAACCTTTCACTACATGCTGTTGGATTTGTATCTTTAAGCATGGTCAACGCAGAAGTGAGCCAGTGAACAAAGAGTGTCCTACGGTGTTTACAGGTGGACAAACAAAGGGATCCATCCTGCCTCTTGGCTCCTTTAGAGGAGTGCACAGAACCAGCTTGATGCTGTTTTTGTGATACTGTGCATGTCTTTGAGGGATTTAGAGTAGCTCTTCCCACCACCAAGTAAAGAGCATGAGAGTTAGGATTGAGAAAGTGTCTTCGGTCAGATTTAGGTAGGTTACTAAATTCTGATGATTTGTCTTAAAAGCTAATTCAGACGAAAGAAAGCAATGGGCCTGACCCATCAGGACAAATAGCTTAGAAAGAAGCAACCCTGTGGTTTTGTAGATTTGACTTTAAAAATCTAGTCTTATGGATAACTATTAATAAAGAGAAATGATTAAATAGTGTTAAGAGTCTGGGGGGGAAACCTTAAATCACAGAATATTACATGGAAAGTGAGACTGAAAAATGGGAAAGTATAATCTGCAAAAAAGAATTTGGCCTCTTCCAGTGGAAAAAATCTAATCTGGAGGATTTTTGCTTTTGCAGTTTTTAAAGGGCAGAAGTACCCTTTATGAATTTGTCCGTGTGCTTGGAGCTGGGCCAGACCCAGACTTTGTACATAATATAATGTATATTGGGAGCACCAATTTTGCTGGAGGTGAGCTTGAGGTGGTTAAGGTTGCTCAGGGATTTGTTTTGAGACCATGTTACCTGATAAGCACAGTGTTTTAACTAACATTTTGTGCTTATTGCAGGTGGCTTGACAAGTCTCTTCCCGCTGCATTTCAAGATGTCCCCTTACATGTTGTTTTAGACCTGGAACACTTTGAATACCACCCACATGAGGCATGAAAGGGCTACATATTTCTGAAATCTGTTGCCATGAGCTAATGACAAATGTAATACCCAATAATATATAAGTCTGGACAGTAGGAAGATCTGTGTAAGCAAGAGAAATGGATTGATCTTATACTGAGATGAGCCATTATACCCTCTGCCTTATTTAAAACCAAAAATCTTTATTGTAAGTTTTTTTAAATTATAACTTTTATTGTAACTTTTGCAATGTCTCATTTTCTCTCTATTCTCACATCCAGTTAATTTATCAAGCACATAGTTATGATGAGTTATTTAGGCAACTGGAAACATTTTGTTTTGTTTTGTTTTAAGATTTTACTTATTTGAGAGAGAGAGAGAGAGAGAGAGCGAGCACAGAAGAGAGGGAGAACCAGGCTCCCCGCTCAGTGGGGAGTCCAATGCGGGGCTCAGTCCCTGGACCCTTGGATCATGACCTGAGCCGAAGGCAGCTGCTTAACCAACTGAGCCATCCATGTGCCCCAGCAATTGGAAAGTTCTAACGGCTATCCATTTGCAGACATGTTGGGAGGAATCAAACTGCTTTAAGTAGAAGGACAAAACTCATAAAATAACTCGATTTTTATAAATGCTTTTATGAGAAATAATCTTATTACCAAAAACAAAAGAAAACAACCTTCCATTGATAAATGGTAGCTTATTGTGGCTGGATACAGTGAAGGATCTAAAACTTGACCTTATACTCGTCTGGGAAGTTTTGCTGCTACAGACAACTGACAAGATGCAGATCCATGCTCTATCCACTTACTAGGATTTTCTTTTGGAATGGATTCCAAATGGGATTTTCTTTTCTTTTTTTTTTTAAAGATTTAATTTTATTTATTTGCGAGAGTGAGAATGAGAGAGAGAGAGAGAGCACATGAGAGGGAGAAGGGTCAGAGGGAGAAGCAGACTCCCTGCTAAGCAGGGAGCTGGATGCGGGACTCAATCCCAGGACTCCAGATCATGACCTGAGCCGAAGGCAGTTACTTAACCAACTGAGCCACCTAGGCGCCCCCAAATGGGATTTTCTTAAGGAAGATCTGGTTTTAAGCAGGGTGTACACAGCATGAGTGAGAAAGACATGGAAGAATGAGGGCAAAAAACAAAACAAAACAAAAACAAAACAAAAAAAACTGGCTATAAAATTTAAGAGAGAAACTAGATTTAAAATGACATAGTATCCACCCTCCCTGCCCCCTTTGAAGTCTTCTGTCACACTTTCCGGTGAACAGACAGAAAAATAGCTGCCTCAGGTTAATTAGAAAAAAAGTCCAAATGTTCAGTAAGATAATTTTTGGAGTGAGTTTGTTCAGTTTCCTGTCTTTTCCATATTTTTTTTTACATTTTTATGAGCATATAATCAGACATCCTTATGCAGGGAAGTGAAAGTCACCCTGATGTGTCAAAGCCATATGCAAGTTCTTACATACTTTACAGCTTTGCTATTCAAAGCCTGGTTCCCAAACCAGTAACACTAGCTTCACCTGGGAGTTTGCAAGAAATGCATGATCTTGTGCCCTGCTATGGAAACTACAGAATCTGCATTTTAACAAGATCCCCAGGTAATTTGTTTGCACACTAAACTTTGAGAGGTATTGCTTTATAGTGTTCACTTTGCCCCCGCCTCCTTTTTTGCTTAATCTGCACATGTACCAAGAAAAGACTCAGTTGTCTGAACATGGATTGCTTTGTGTATTCTCTCCAGTGACTGATTTAATGTGATGTTCTTTCTCTACCAGCTGCATACTTCCCGGCCAACAACGCTTATGGTCCTTAGGAAATGATTTTGTACTACAGTCAGTTTTGTGGAAGGCAGATTTAGCTATACAAACTGTAACTAGGAAGTTGTCTTTAAATAAAATTAAACAATACACACCAAACTTATGTGTGAGTTTGTGGAATAGGAAGCTGACCGACTACTAACATTCATCAAAGGAAAGTGAAGAGAAATATTCCGCTTTACCACTAGGTGGAAATAGAGTAATTTTGAGTATATTTTTCAGGGCCATGAACTACTAGAGGAGATAAGCTGAAAGGGACCTAAGAAATCATTTGCTGTAATTCTTATCTCCTTAATTTCATTGATGAGAAAACTGAGTTTTTGGAGATATTAAGTAAAATTGCATCTGTCTTACAAATGGTGGTCTTCTAGAGCTACAGAGGGGGAGAGCTGCTGGTAAGTTTTGATTCTTCAACCATTTTCATCTATATGAATAACGTGTCATTACCCTCCAGCATGAAGGGAAGACAGGATGTAACACCTAAACTAATGACCAGCACAGTGACTTAAATTTGTAAGGATTCGTTTAGAATAAAACTATTTTTCCTTGTCCCTGTATTATAACATAATTAATCTCAGTCAAGTAATAATTCTCCCTTTTTCCATTGAAGAGCTACTTAACCATCCCATAAAGTCATACAAAGAGTTTAATCAGATTTGTTTTTACAACATTTTTGGTTTTTATGTTTCATATTGGGTTCAAGTTAAGTGGCCTAGAACAGAACTTCAGTTAGCAGGTTAAGGAAATACTTCATGTTTTTCAGAACTTGAAATCCATTCCCATTATTTTTAAGAAAGGAAGGGAATCTGAATGCAGAGCTTGAGGGATGTTAGAAATAATCTACTACAACGTCTTTCCATATATATCTCACAGATGAGAAGTACCAGAGCACAAGGGATGAAGTGTGTCGCCCACAGCAGCAAAGCCATCTCCATGCCCTTCTTCTTTGCTCCAGGAGAGACTCTAGCAGGTAATTTGGCCTATATCTTTCTGTTGTTTGTGGTGTGTATTAACCACAGAAGGATTATTTCCACTCATTACATCAAAGAGGGTGTTTAAAAGTTGACTTTTAGGGGCACCCGGTGGCTCAGTTGGTTAAGCATCTGCCTTCAGCTCAGGTCATGATCTCGGGGTCCTGGGATCGAGCCCCACACAGGGCTACCTGCTCAGCAGGGAGTCTGCTTCTCCCTCTGACCCTCCCCCCTCTCTTGCTCTGTCTCTCACTCTCTCTCTCAAATAAATAAAATCTTTTAAAAAATAAAAAAACTAAAAGTTAACTTTTAGTAACACCTCTGGTATAAAAACTATTTTGTAAGTACTTATGTATTTAGTACCATAGTGCCATTTCCCTTTTGATATTTCTGTGACATGGTTGATTATGATCACCTAAAAATTAGTATTCCAGTACAGAGTCCTGACTATTATTACCATGTTCTATACAAACATGGATAAAACATGTTGAATCAGCACATTAAGTCCAAACACACAGTAGCTGCCTGTCTAGGAGGCTGGGGCAGCAGGCTGTCCTAAGTGTCTAAAAGCCAGCCCTTGCATCACTGAGCAAATGACATACTTAGCTGCCTTCAGAACTTGAACATTTTCTCAGCAGTAGAGCCTCAAGTGTGGAACATCGGGCTCTTTTTTTTTTTTTTTTTTTTTAGGTTTTATTTATTTATTTGAGAGGGAGAGAGAGCACAAGCAGGGAGCCCAATGTGGGGCTGGATCCTAAGACCCTGAGATCATGACCTGAGCTGAAGGCAGACGCTTAACCAACTTGAGCCAGCCAGGTGCCCCGCCATATGGGCTCTTAATGGCACAACTCTACGGCCTGAGTCCCTCGCTATTAAAATGGTACCACAAGAAAAACTGGGGTGACCCTAAAATTAGGGCAGGAATTTGAAATAAAAAAGATATAGTGCAGGGGAGTAAATGTCCTGAGGCATGATGGGAAATGACCAACCTCAGATTTCAGTTTGTTGAGGATGGAACGTGAACCAGTGTCTTGGTATGTATGGTTCAGGAGATTGTAGCCTCTGCTCTTAGCTCCTTGAGTACAGTGAGCTAGAGGCAACCAGGTGTGGTCCTGTTTTCACAAGGTCTGACGGGAGGACTGGACAGGGATTCTGGTTCTACCACTTTGCAAACATTCCCTGCCTCATGTCCTCTTTCAAAAAATTGGGAAACCACTAGCAAAAATTTAGTGTAACTCAGAGTTAATGGATAGAAAGTGCATAGGAAGCACAGCATCTAGCACAAATGAACCTTGTCTCATCTCATCTCACCATCTAGCTCAGTAAATGAACCGTATCTCCATCAAGGCAGCTGGCCTCTCTGTGTGGCAACTTTCTTACCCCATCCCAGCTCACTCCCACAGGGACCTGGGATCACCCGGTAAGATACTGTGACAAGTACACTTCGAAAAGTGTAATACTTTACACAACAAATACAGGGTATCATTATAATGAAAGGCAAAGAGGAAAGTGCTGGAGTCTAAATACTTGGGAGTCTGAGAAGAAACTATGAAGGGCTCACTCAACTAGGAAGGTAAACGAATAACATATTCTTGATGGGTACATTTAATAGCAATGACGGTCACTTAAACTGAAACTTCTTGAGGAGTTTTAGTTTGGAAACCGAAATCTTCCCCTACCCTGTGCCTTCTGATAAAATCATCTAACTCAAATCAGGTACATACTGGCCCTGAGGCCCTAATTGGACAGGGGTGGAGGAGGGAGTTGAGGAGAGAGGTGGGGGGGTGTCCTGAAGGTGGGGAGATCAGGTTCTCTCAGGAAGGTACGGGATGTGGGTTAGTCCACTGACTAGAAGCGGAGATGAAGGAGGCCAAGAAGTCCATCAGCCAAACGACCACCGATCAATCAATTCCTGCCCCCAAGCCCAACAAGGGCTAGTCGATCCGTTGGGAGTATTTCGAAGGAAAAAGAGTGGCGGCTTGGAGGTAGAACGGTGGGGCGCTGGAGAGGTGGGGCCCCTCCAGCTTCAGGCGCTGGCGTCTGGGGCGGCGTGGGGCGCGCGGGACAAGTCCCCGCCTGTAGGAAGCGCTGGGCGGGGGGAGCTCCCCCAACCTCCCGCCGTCCCGGGGCAGGTGGAACGGGTTCGCGCCTCGCGGCCCAGGGAGAGAGGCTCTGGGGGCGTGCGGGGGGGCGGGGCGGGGGCCGGGCGAGGCGCGTCTCTCATTGGCCTCTCGGAACCGCCCGGCGCGCGCCGCGTTTATAAAGCAGCCAGGGGCGCCGGCTGGTCGGAAGCCACGCTCCCGACGCCCCACTCTGCTCTGCTCCCTAGGCCCGCCGGCCCGCACCCACCATGGCCACCATTCAGCAGCTGGTAGGAAGATGGCGCTTAGTGGAAAGCAAAGGCTTTGACGAATACATGAAGGAAGTAGGTGAGGCTCCCGGCCAAGCGGCGCCTGTAACGTGGCGAGTGTGTGTGTGTGTGTGTGTGTTCCTAGGTCCCCTTCAGCGTGCTGA